TGCCTCTAATTCCTCATCTGTAAAATCGGCACAACAATAGCATCAACTCCTTGGTTGGTGGCTATAAAGATAAAGTGAGCTAATATGCATAAAGAGCTTAGAATCATGCCTGGCCCAGAAGGAGTGTCCAGCTGTCAGCTACTATCATCTGAATCCCTGACATGTGCCAGACTCTTGGCATCGACTTCATTCCCTTGATGAACTGACACTTAACAGTCTCCTTTGTACAAATAAGGATACCTTCTGAGATAATGTTGGCTAACTCGGATTAAAAATTAAGATCCTGGGACACCTGTGTGGCTCAGCGTTGAGCATCTGCCTTTGGCTCAGGGCGTGATCCTGGAGTCCCAGGATTGAGTCCCATGTCAGGTTCCCTGCATGGAGCCTACTTCTCTCTCTGCCTGTGTCTCTGCCTCTCTCTGTGTCTCTCATGAATAAATAATTTTTTATTATAAATTTATTTTTTATTGGTGTTCAATTTGCCAACATATAGAATAACACCCAGTGTTCATCCCCTCAAGTGCCCCCCTCAGTGCCCGTCACCCAGTCACCCCCACCCCCTGCCCACCTCTCCAATAAATAAAATCTTTTAAAAAAATTAAGATACTAATGACATAAAACGTATTCTAAAGGGAGGTAATCCATAATTACCTCAAGGCCAATGAGTCAAACTTCCCTGACTTTCTGCTGCCGCCTCACAATGGTGCCTTGGGAGGGAAATACCACATTCTTTTGATCCTAAATAAGCATATACCCTATAAGCAGCCCAGGACCTGCCCTTACTTCCAGGTTGACCACCATTAAGAGATGGAAGAAAATCAGTATTTATTGAGAATCTACAAGGTACCAGGCTCTATGTTTCCAATCATCCATTAAACATTGATTCAGTATCAATTAACTACCACTGTGCTAAGCGCTGGGGATTTGAGAATTTGCAAAGGATCCAAGTTTTAGTGGAGTTTACAGGTCTTTATTGAGCTTACAGACGTGTAAAAGAGGGGGACTTGCCTGTGTGGGGGCAGGGGGTGTATAAAAAATCTCTACCTTCTTCTCAGTTTTGCTGGGAACCTAAAACTGCTCTAAAATAATAGTCTTGGGGCACCTGGTTGGCTCAGTGGTTGAGCATCTGCCTTTGGCTCAGGACCTGATCCCAGGGTCCTGGGATTGAGTCCTGCAACAGGCTCCCTGTGGGGAACCTGCTTCTCCCTCTGCCTGTGTCTCTGTCTCTTTGTGTCTCTCATGAATAAATAAAATATTTAAAATAAAATAAGATAAAAGTCTTTTCAGGGGTGCCTGGCCAGCCCCCTTGCTCAATGGGGAGTCTCCTTCTCCCTCTGCCCCTCCCCCTCATTCTCTCTCTCTCTCTCTCTCTCTCTCTCTCATAAATAAAATAAAATAAAATAAAATAAAATAAAATAAAATAAAATAAAATAAAATAAAATAATAAAACGAGGTGTGTGGGAGGGAGGGGCGGACCGGGCAGTAGTCTTACTGATACTGTGATACACATTTATCAAGGTGGCCCAAAGGGAAAAGTATTGAATTCTAGTTAAAGAACCAGAGTGAAGGACTCCTGGGTGGCTCAGCGGTTCAGCGTCTGCCTTGGGCTCCGGTCGTGATCCCGAGGCCCGGGATGGAGTCCCCCATCCCAGTCCCTGCGAGGAGCCTGCTTCTCCCTCTGCCTGTGTCTCTGCCTTCTCTCCGTGTCTCTCATGAACACATAAATAAAATCTTTAAAAAGAAGAAACAAAGAAAAAGAAAAGGAAACAAAGAAGCAGAGTGAGGTGGGAGGAAGGGAAGCCTTGAGGGGAGGTGATGCTGTGAGCGACCTGCACGTGGACGTGGGCGCTGGAGAAGACAGCCAGGGTGTGAGCCACTGGGGGGCCCAGACGTGGCGCTGAGAGGTCTGGACTTCCTCTCGTGGGCTCCTGATGTATCGTCACCTGATCGCAGCCTTAGAACCACCCCTTGGGAGGGCCATACAAGGGAAAAGGAAAGGAGAACGTACCCCCATTTCACAGGTCAGGAATTTCAGAAGGAAGAAGGGAGCGGCTGGCAATCACGAAGCAAGAGGCAGCGGGGGGGGGGGGGGGGCATAGGCCGGAGCCCGTCGCTACGTGACCCCCGGTGTGACACCTGCGAGCTCTCCGCCGCCTGCCGTCCCGGCGCCCCGCCCCGCCTGCCCAGGCCCGGGGAGCCCACCCCCTGCCCTGCCGAGGAATCTTCGGGCGCCCGCCCTGGTACTGCGCGGTCCTGCACCCGCCGCCACTCCTCCCCGCCTGCGACGGGTGCCTCCTTCCTGGGGCTGCTGGCCCGTGCTCTCCCCGGGAACGCCCCGCACCCCACCCGCCACCTCAAACCCAGCAACTCCTACCCACACTTTCCACACTCAGCTCGAACGTCCCTTCCTCAGGAGCCCTCCTTCTCCCTGCGCCGGGAGGTGTCGCGTCCTTCGTCCCTCCAGACTCCACACGGTTGGCTGCCCTCGCGCGCAGCGCAGCGACCCTGCGCGCCCAGCCCTGCCTCGGCCCCGCGGCCCGGGCCTCCCGCCCGCCCCGCCCCGCCTGCCCACGCCTCTGGTCGCCTTCCCCGGCCTGCGGCCCGCCGGGTCTCCTGCCTCCTCGGGAAGCCAAGCCAGATACAGAGGACTCCGGGGCCCCAGCAAATGACCGACCCGTCTCCTGCACCTCGCTGCTCACAGGGACAGGGAGGGTTAACCGGTCACCGGTCCTGGAAACCACGAGGAAGGAAGACGAGGGCCCGGCCTTGGGGGAGGTCACCAGCACCCCCCCCTGCAGTCAGTGGCCGCCTCTGACATCAGCAACAGCTGTGCGCTTTGGCCCTGCGACCTCCCCAGCCCGGCTCCTCCTGGCTCCCGGCCCTTACCGCCCCCCCAGGATGGCAGCAGCCGGGCCTTGAGCATTATCTCCGCGGCCTGCCCGGGAATAACCCGCGGCCGGTTCCGCTTCGCCGCCGCGGAGGCGCATGTGCGGGAGGGCGCACGTGTACCCGCGCGGAGGAGAAGCGCGGGGGCTGGCCCCGGCCTCCGCAGCTCGCCCTCCGCGCCTTCCCTTCCTGCCCTGAACCTTAAGTCTCCACCCCCACCACCGCAACCTTCACGCGGGCTGGAGACCCGGAGGCCAAGGCCTCTCCCCTTCCCTGCCACGCTGCAAGGGCCCAAAGCCTGCAGGCACGTTTCCTAAGCCAAAGACAGACCTCCACCCCTCTCGGCCCCGCCCCTGCACCCCCCCACCCCGTCACCCAACCGAGGAGCGAGAGCCTGCTCTGTGCCCTCCCAGCCTGGAGCTGAGTGCGGGGCGGGGAGGGGGCGGGGTGCAGGTGTTGAGGAGAAGCGGGCAAGGCACCCGCTTCGGGGAGAAACAGTCCAATGGAAGAGACAAGCAAACACACAAACCACTATACAAGTCGGGCCGACGCGATGCACCCATCTGGTGGTGTGACGAGTGAGGGTGTGAGTCCGAGGAATAAGCCATTCCAGAAGGTTGGGATGGTGGAGGAAGGCTTCCTTCCCAGAGGAAGAGGGCCCACAGTGGGCCTCGAGAAACGAGCTGGAGGGCCTCCAGGCAGCCACTGCTCAGACAGGAGCCCAGGACAAGAGCCTCTGGATTGCTGGACCCTCCTCCCTACTCCTCATGGGGCCTGATAGGCCGCCGAGGGTGTGGGACTCACTCTTCTGCATGGGCTCTGGGCACCAGGTCTGCTCTGAGCAGGTCCTGTCACTTCCATCCTTTCTGCTGTGAGGGAGACAGCAAGAGCCACTGGGGACCTGTTACTGCTCCCTGCTCTTTAGGCCTGTCCTCCCTACCCCTGCGGCAGCAGTGACAGAACCCAGAACGCTCTCCCAAGGAAGGCAGGCCCTGGGCCAGGGGCCACACTAGTGTGATCCTCTGGACTCCTGATACTCTTGCCGGGTGAATCCAGCTTAAACGCAACCTCAAGTTCAATCTTAAAAGGAAAAGATTTCATCAGAGACCAGGACAATGTTTCTCAAAGAGTAGCATGCAATTCACATGGCAACCACCTGGAAATTTTTTTTTTCTTTTTGGAAAATTTTTTTTAATACGAGTTTTAAAGCCTCAATTCTAGACCTGTTAAATCTAGAGTTTCCAAGGCTGGGGGCCAGAAATCCGCATTTTATTATTTATTTATTTGTTTGTTTGTTTGTTTGTTTGTTTATTTTTAATAAAGATTTTATTTATTTATTCATGACAGACACAGAGAGAAAGGCAGAGGGAGAAGCAGGCTCCACGCAGGGAGCCTGATGTGGGACTCAATCCCCGGGTCTCCAGGATCATGCCTTGGGCTGAAGGTGGCCCTAAACCACTGAGCCACTGGGGCTGCCCTATTTATTTATTTTAAAGATTTTATTTATTTATGTGACACAGAGAGAGAACAAGCAGGGGTAGTGGCAGGCAGAGGGAGGGGGAGAAAGCGGCCCCCTAATCCCATATAGGGCTCAATCTAAGGACCCTGGGATCATAACCTGAGCCAGGGCAGATGCTTAACCCACAGAATCACCCAAGACACCTCTCAGAAATTTGCATATTAAGCAGCACCCCCACATGAGATTTGAAAAGCACAGTTGGATGGTGTAGGCTTTGTTCCAAACTGCCTTGGCCTCAGCAGCTTCCCCCCCCTCCATCCACTGGAGTCTGGCACCAATCTCCCAGCTCCCTTCTGTGCACCGGCCTCCCCCAGGCAACCCGCACATGGCCAGAGCCACACTGTGAGGCAATCCCTCTATCCTTGACCCCTTCCTCTGCACAGCCAGTGATGGCTTTATCTCCGGATGATAAAGCACAGCCTTCAGCCGGGGAGCATTTAAGACAGGAACACAGGCTGGTCCCAGCCACAGCTGCAGGACCCAGAGGCAGACCCTGCTGGGCTCGGCCAGGAGGGAAGAAGCCACCTGGAGAGCAGAGGCAAGAGCCCCAGTGGCCACAGCAGCGCTCCCCTGCCTGTCCCCACTGCCTTAAACCATGCTTCTAGCCACGTTTAAGCTGTGTGCAGGGAGCTCCTACAGACACGTGCGCAACATGAAGGGTGAGGTCCCTGGACCGGGGTAGGGGCTGCGGGTGCCCAGGCCGAGTGGTTGTGCGGGACTGGGGAGCGGGCCCCTCAGGCGCTGATCCCATGTGCAACCTGCACCAGTCACTTCCCTTCTGGAGCTCCCCATGTGAACAGCTGGGCTGGATGCTTAGATACCTGTGTCCCTTCTGGATCCTGTCACTGCTGCCCTCCTCTCTGGGGCCCCACCTTTTCTTGAGCTCGTCCTGACTTTGCCTAGATTGGCGCGGAGGCTACCAGGAAAGTCTCAGCCTCGGTGCATGCAGTGGGCGTGAGCCTCGACTTCCAGCGGGCCGTGTGGGCAAGCCTGAGACATGCGCAGGGACGGGGTGGGGAGAAAAAGACGGGAGAGGGAACCCAGAGAAGAGCAGAGGAAAGAGAGAAAGTGGGTGCAGCTGGAAGTCTTATTATGTACCATGGGGAGGCAGAACCAGTTACCGAAGCCTGATTTTGCGGTGCTCATCAAGATTCCAGGTCATCAGAGTCAATCCCCTGCGGTCACTGAATGGTACACAAACCAATCTCGAGTGCTTTCCTGTTACACTGGATTGAACCGGCTTCCATTCAGATGGAAGCCATGCTTGGAAGACTTGTACCAGCAGTGGGCCTGTTGTCACCAGATCAATAAGACCAGCTCGCTCTGACCCAGCGGCACACAAAGCAATTACTCATGCAAAGGCCCCCGGCTGCTGACAGCTACACAGACTACAGGGGATGGGGGTCTTCAATTCTCCTTCGGCAGCAGATTTTTTCTGGTTGAACAAAGCTTCTCTTTCAAGAAGGAAACTTCCCTGGGCTCTGGTACAGCTCCTGCCTCCAGGCAGGACCAGGCCTGGCCCACCCAGATGGAAGGTAGACTCTGGGCCCAGGAGGCAGCCTGGCACAGAGTAACAGCCCTGGGCTGGGAGATGGCCTGGCTCTGGTTCCGGTCCCCACTAGGGATCTGTGTTCCTGAGCAAGTCACCTCCCTCTCCAAGTGTTTCCTCATCTGTGGCAAGGTGAAGAGGTGGATTGGTCGCCCTCTAGGGGTATTTTGCTGTCCTAAGCAACCATTTCCTCTGCTCTCCACAGGCCTGAGGCACCAGGCTATGCTGGCCATCGGCCAGGAGCTGAACCGGAGGGCGCTGGGGGGCCCAACCCCAGGTGCGTGGATTAACCAGGTTCAGCGTCGGAGCTCTCTGCTTGGTAAGCCCAGGCTTCTGGACTTGTGCCAGTGGTGCGAGCTCGAGCTCGTGCGTGCTGCTCTGGTTCCCTCCCACCACCCCCGCCTCCCCCTAACCCTAAGCTGGCCTCACTCACTTACTTTGAGAAGATGGGACTGGAGTTCCTGAAGGCCAGACCCCTGTCAGCTGCAGCTGTGTGTCTAACTTTGCCTGTGAGCCTGACCCCATGGCTTTCGTCTTGGCTCTTCAAGGGAAAGAGCAGACCCAGATTCCAAGGGATGGAAGTCGAAGGGAGGCCAGGGAAACAGAGGCAAACTTGGGCTCTCCTTGGCTGTGTATCTAGGTTCTCGGCTGGAAGAAACCCTCTACAGCGACCAGGAGCTGGCCTATATCCGGCAGGGAGAGGAAGCCATGCAGAAGGCCCTGGGCATCCTCAGCAATCAGGAAGGCTGGAAGAAGGAGAGCCAGCAGGTAAGGGTGGGCCTGGAGGAACCCACGTTCCTCACTGTTCCTCTGCTGTCCTCAAGGCCTCAGAATTCCTGCCTCATTTGCCAAGTGCTAGTTTTAATTTGAAAATTCTCCTTTTCCAAGAATACATCCTCAGATACTCCTTTTGCCCATCACAGACATCCTGGAGACTGGTGTTCTAGAAACACTGTCATCTGGATCCTCAGTTACCCTCCAAACACATTGTACACCCAGTTTGCCAGGGACCACACAGTAACGGTCCTGCATGCATTGGAGGCCTCACCACGCTGGTCAGAAGAGTCAGTACCAAGGCCCAGTGCTGCTGCTGTTCAGCCGTCCTCACAGCTGAGCTTGCAGGGCTGATCTGAGCTCAGCCACAACAGGGCTGGACCCCGAGGCCTTCTGAGTTTCCTGGCTCCTGAGCACCACATCCTGAATGGGAACCAGTAACAGGCACATGTTCAAGGCCACTGGCTCCATTGAGACTCTTGTGGCTGTACTTCACCCAAAAGCTTCCATGCCGCCTGTTGCCTAAAGTTTAGGTAAACCCTCCCCTTCAAGTTCTGAGTTAGCAGACCACTGGTTTGGGAGTCAGGAAATCTGGGGTGTAGGTCCAGCAATGCCCTTAGGCTAAGGGTCTCTGGGCCTACATCCTTCTGCTGTAAGGCAAGGTACTGGACTGAACATGTCTTTAAGATCCCACCTGGCATGGTGTGTATGTAATTAGGTGGTGGTGGAGCAGACTTTCCCACTCCCAGGTTTGTCTCGTTCAGAACTTTGTGCTTCTGAGGTTGAGTAGGGGCCTCTACAGTTGGACTTACCCACACCCAACAGCATTTACCACCAAGAAAAAAGGGTCCAGGAGCAGGCAGGTTGCTTGTTAAAGCTCCGGCAGATGCACGAGGCTTGTGGCAGGAAAGATTAGCAACTGTTTTCATCAGAAGTAATGCTAGGCTTCTTAGTGCTTAGCTTGGAGCTGTGTGTGCCACTTCCCTACCTGTTGCCTGCCTTGCCTGTGTGCCTTACGCTAGGAATACTTTTTTTTAACCTTTATCCTGAAGTTAATTTTTTCTCCCTGATAGGCAAATGGGGACAAAGTACTCAGTAAGGTGGTCCCAGATGTGGGCAAGGTATTCCGTTTGGAGGTGGTGGTGGACCAGCCCATGGAGAGGCTTTATGAAGAGCTTGTGGAACGCATGGAAACAATGGGAGAGTGGAACCCGAATGTCAAGGAGGTCAAGGTAAGGAGAGTCTGGGTGTGAGTGGCAGAAAGCCACAGAAACTCAGTCTGCAAGGTGTGCCACAGAGGCCGCAAGCTGTGGGTAGTGCCTTAGACCCAGCACTGGCTGAGCAGTGATTCTGGCTCCCTGTGGCTTGGTAGGTCCTGCAGAAGATTGGAAAAGATACAGTCATCACCCATGAGCTGGCTGCAGAATCAGCAGGAAACCTGGTGGGGCCCCGGGACTTTGTGAGTGTGCGCTGTGCCAAGCGCCGAGGCTCCACCTGTGTGTTGGCTGGCATGGCCACACATTTCGGGGAGATGCCTGAGCAGAAAGGTGTCATCAGGTAATACTGGCCGTCCCTCAAAACCTCTCTTCCCAAACACAGGCTTGTGGGCATGCACCCACCAGGTGTGTGATGAATCCTCAGCTCCAAGAAACCAGTCCTTGGTCTCTTCCTTCAGCTTGCTTTCACACAGAAGTATTCTTTTTCCATAGTAGGGAAGGAAGACAAGTTTGGCCCTACTTACATAGCCAGTTTGTCCTGACCTTCCAAGAGAGCTTAAACACCTTAGTAATTTTCTAAAATATGAGGCAAGGCTGAGGTTTAGCTGGTATGCTCAGGTATGACCGAACATACTGTCGATTAAAATGTAATCCATACCACTTAGAACACAGCTGCTGCCTCAGTTTCCCAGGGCCCCAGCCACTACCCTGGACCCTTTCTCTGGTGTTCAGCAACTAAAAGGCACCACAGGAGGCCTCCAGGCTCCAGCTCCATTTGGCATTTGTTCTGATGAGCTGGTAACCACGCCAACTGTTAAATATCACCCTTGGCAAATAATATTTCTGAGACTTAGAAAAGACAAGGTAATAGAGAAGCATGACTAGTATTAAGTTGGCAGCATAAGAATTCTGCATGGTTCTCCTGACTTGACTTCTCTTCACTTGCCAGAGGTGAGCATGGTCCCACGTGCATGGTGCTCCATCCACTGGCTCAAAGTCCCTCAAAGACCAAACTCACTTGGCTGCTCAGCATTGACCTCAAGGTGAGGAGCACAGGATGGCTCAGTGGGTGGGTGGTGGGGAGAAAAACTGGCTTTGGCACTCCCATATTGTCCCACAAGGAAGAGGGAAAATCCTCTTACATTCAAAATGCAGATTGTCGGAGGGAAGAGGCTCAAGTTATGGCCTACTGTTCCATCACCTCAAAAGCCTACAATAGCTCCATTTTACCTCTATCAAATTTCAACTCTGCAGTTATCAATGTGGAAAGAAGGAAACTTAGGCCCCAAAAGATATGGTTGCTAGCTCAGAGTCACACACCTGGGAAGAGAGTAGTTCTGTGCTTCTTACACTGTCAGGACAGCAGGGTAGGGATGCAGTCCTCCTGGTCAACTCTAAGGTCGCATCTATAAACAGAGCTGAAGACCAAGCCCTAAGTAACCCATGTTTGTGATAGGGCACAGAGGTTTCTACAGCCGAACATCACCCATAAGATGGCCAAATTCTTCTAATTTTCTACTCTAGGGATGGCTGCCAAAGACCATCATCAACCAGGTCTTATCACAGACTCAGGTGGATTTTGCCAACCACCTGCGCAAGCACCTGGAGTCCAGCCCTGCTCCTGAAGCCAGATGTTAAGGACCAGCCTGCTGCTCCCAACTGTTCCTAGCTACACTGGCTTGCATGCTTGTCAGGAAGATCCCTGCTAGAAGCCTACAAGTCTGTTTAAGATCTTCATCTGGGGACTGAGAAATGAGGTGGGAGTGTATTTATAGAGTATGATACTGGGACTCAGATTGGTAAAATTTTAGGACCAAGAAAATGAGGGCAAGGCTTTTAAGAGCTTTATAGCTTCAATGATTAGCTGTGAAATGAAGGTCAAGGGCCCCAGCATATTTGTAAAGTTTCTTTCTGGCCCTTACATGTCTATTTAAGAGCATCTTTAAAATGCTACTAGCTGATACAGGGTGCAGAGGGCACTAAATACAGGGATTGGGATCTCATACTTTATGGGCTCATGAACTCCCTTCCCTGCAGGCAGTGTTTGTGGACACAGCGGGTCTTATAAAAGGTACTCTAGCAACCCTCTGCTCCTCTACCAGATAGGTAGCAAGGGGCACCAAAGACCAAGCAACTCCCCACAGCAGCAGGTGCCTTCTAGAAATGTAGTCTAAGTTTTCCTGATTGAAAATAAATAAATAAATAAAACTAATTAAACTAGTTCTACTTCTGCCATGAGCACCAGTCAGAAAAAAGAATTATAACTAACACAAAAACTTCAGTCTGTACCTGTTGAAAAATTCTCTTAAAAAAAAATCATTCTAGTAAATTGCAACTTCATGCTAAAGGAGTCCTAGAAATTAACTAGATCCCCTAGCTCATTAGAAGGAAAAACTACTGGGCACATAAATTACTCAATTATTTAGAATGTTACCAGGATCTTTCATAAAGGTTTAATTTCCATGATAAGCACAAGCCAAAATTAATTCTTAAAAGAACTCTAGAACTGGTAGCTGATTGATGAGCACTGGAAGAGGATCATGACTGAGGATTTTTATTTACCTAAAGAAAAGATAGGACAAATATGAGAATGTATGTTGAACAGAAACAAATTTACTTGTTTTTCCTTGAGTGAACACTGAAACCCAAAAAGGGGAGTCTTTAATTCAGAGCTGCTCACATCAGCTTCTAGCATGGCTCAGGGTGGCCACTTTCTCTGCCTTTAACAGGTCAGTGTTTTACAATTTCAAGAGATGGTTGAAAGAGGTGATATAGTGATAGCAAAGCACCCAAGATTCAGAGAATTTATGCTTTAAAAATATAAACTGGGGTGGGATTACTTTGTTAATGTGTATAAGCACGATGAAAACCCAGCCATCACCACTTGAAGCTTTTCCATTCTGGTTTTAATGGCATTGATGATTTAAAGCATTTGGAAACAGAGCTCCAGCTTATTTATTAAACAGCTCAGCAAGAGCAGGAATGCTGGTATTTATTGAGCTACTGAAACTTTACATCTGAGAAAAGTATTTATTATTTATTCTGTTTCTTAGAGTGATCTCTTTTTAGCATAGATCAAATTATTATCTACCTGGGGGCACTTCAGAGTGAGAGGGGATAGTTGTAGAAGTATTTCTAGAATTAGAAATATCTAAATACAGAATTATCATCCATTCCCAGCTCAGAGAAAATGATTACTTGTTTAAAGTTGTGTGAAGCTACACTCTGGTTTTAAAAAAGAACATGCTGAAAGCAAAGAAATGGGACTTCACCACACATCATAGTTGTGATCTTGATTTTAAATTGCCTTCTTCAAACCATGCAACTGTGTCTTTGAGGGGACTGGGAGTTATTTTTCCACTTGTTTAATTTTATGTTGGAATAAAGTAAGTTGTTAGTGACAACCTGCTTGCCGAGACCATTTTATGGAAGTCTATGTGAAGAGTGGGTATTCTGTGAGCCCTTCAAATAAACTTTCTCAAAACACACAAGCACTTTGAATATGAATTATAAACAGGTAAAATAATTACTTCTGTAACTTGATTTATGAAAATATAATGTACAAAATTTTATCATTTAAATGGAGAGTGGGTGTACAAATAACATGTGGTAAATTATATTACAAAGAATTTACCTCCAGGGGTGCCTGGAGGGCTCAGTCCGTTAAACATCTGCCTTCTGTTCAGGTCATGATCCTGGGGTCCTGGGATCGAGTCCTGCTTTGGGCTCCTTGCTCAGTAAGGAGTCTACTTCTTCTTCTCCCTCTGTGCCTCCCCTCCACTCGTGCTTGTTCTATCTTGCTCTCTCAAATAAATAAATAAAATCTTAAAAAAAAATTACCTCCAGCTTCCTCTAAAAGACACTGCCCTCTCTCATTCTCTTTTAAGAGTTCTTCAAACTCTGGTCATCCAGCTTTATAACCAAGTCTGCCCTTTAAGACCAGCCATGAATGAATAGGTGTCGTTAGCCTACGATCATACTAACTCTGTTAGGTCTTCTGTGAAGATATGTGGAATGGCCAAAACAAACAGCCAGGCTGGTTTGTTAGGAGACAAATATATTAGTCAAAGCTACTGTGTTAAGGATACCAATAGTCACTAGAGATTTGGGAGATTTCTTCAACACGCAGGAAATATGGCAACACATTCCCCACCTTGCGGTGAACCCCTCTATTTACCTAGATGGAAGGCTAGAGGCAGGGAAGTCTCTGGAGTAATCCTGGGAGGCTGACGTATTAAAAATGGAGACAGGGAAGCCATAAAAGGATCTCAAGGGAGGGCTCATTCGTTTTTGTTTTTTCTTTAAGATTTTATTTATTTACTCATGAGAGACAGAGAAGCAAAGACATAGGCAGAGGGAGAAGCAGGCTCCATGCTGGGAGCCTGATAGCGGGACTCGATCCCGGGTCTCCAGGATCATGCCCTGGGCTGAAGGTGGCCCTAAACTGCTGAGCCACTGGGGCTGGGCTGCCTGGCAGGGGGGTGGGGAGGGGGCCCTCATTCTTACATTCCAGCTTTTAGTATTCTGAACACTGCCCTTTTATTATCACCTATTCTGAAAACAATCTCTACATACTAACATACATGTTCAACGGGAAGAGTTGGAGGGAGACCATTAACCCTTATTGTTTATTTTTTTAAAGATTTATTATTTGAGAGAGAGAGTGGGCACACTCAAGCGGTGGGGGACAGAGGGATGGCAGAGGGAGGAAAGGAGAGAATCCCCAAGCAGACTCCCTGCTGAGCCCGGAGCCTGATGGAGGGCTCTATTCCAGGACCCTGAGATCATGAGCTAAAATCAAGGGTTAGCTGCTTAACTGACTGAGCCACCCAGGTGACCCCATTAAACTTTTTAAGCTCTTGTTCACCTCAGGAGTCTGATTTCACAGGATAAAGAGAGTGGGTGACTTGGGTGGAAAGAATGGAAGCAAGAGGGTTTGGGATAGAGTCAGCAATGTGCCTGTCTCCCCCAATTCTAGCTACCTTTCCTCAAACTGCCCACATTCCCTACCACTGTCACAAGAGGAACCCAATGTGAAAGGGAAGCAAAGTGCCACAAACACTTGAAGACAAGTTTTATTTGGGAAGAGTTTCTAATTGTTAAAGCTGCAAGCAAGTTCTTTTTACAATTATAGTTCTAGAGACCTAGTAGTTTCAGAGACCCCAGTGTTCAAAAATATTTCAAAATGAATAAAAACCCACACCAAAAGGAAAGACCTTTTAGATCTGGAATGTACAGTCACTGAAATCAGCTGTTCTCAGAAACAGACCATTTCCTTGGAAATCAGATGGGATGAAGTCAATGCCACTAAAGGAAATGCCTTTTTAAATAAGTTAGCTACTTGAACAAGATTATTCACTCCTTAGAAAATACAGTCTACAATACAAGTCCCAGGTGGTGGGATACATGGTACAGCACCAGTTTCATAGGGAGTGTATGGGATCCTAGGGTCAGCAGTTGTTGGCATATGGCACACAACATAGAAGCAGTCACCGGAAGTGGAGAGAGTGCTGAAGGGCAGGCAGTCTTTCCCAGTCTCACCCACACTTTTAACTTGCTAACAGCAGAGGCTGTGTTCCGTAGTATCTTTGGGAGAACGTCTGCAACAGTTAAAAAACAAAAACAGGCCCCCTCCCCAATTTATTCCCCAGAAAGTCCACGTCTGCAAAGAGGGATCTGGTCAGGGTTCCCATGGTGGACTCCGTCTCCCATCCACCTCTGTTTCCACATGATACAAGACATCAGCCAGAGTATGTTCTACCACAGCGCCCCAGCCCATGTCACTCATCTGTGGGGGGAACAAGAAACAGAATTGAGGCGATGAGAATAGCTACAACAAGAAGAAACAGAGATAGGAGGATGTATCGTGAATGTTACTCACAGGGCGGTAAGTGAGATCCTTTGGAGGATACTTGAAACATGGTCCAAAGTTAATGGAAACCTGGGGGAGTTCAATTCGAGCAGACATGAAAGCACAGAAGAAAACAGTGAACAAGTTGAACGTGACATGGGAACTTTTTAAATGTAGCTATGACATTCGGGGCACAAGCAGAACGAATGACATAGATTCACAGTGCTAAAAATGGTCAACATCCTGATGTTTGTCAAAAATTAGGTAGACTTGATGATTTCTGTTTACAACCTAAAGATTTCCTTATTCTATTTAAATGGTGGTTACTGACAGACTAAAAATACATGGAAACTTCCAGACATTACCCTTTTAAACCATTTAAAACAACAACAAAAACCTAACAGGATCTGATGAGAGTCCCTTTCATACTGGATCATATTAAAAAAAAAAAAAACACAACACAGTATAAGCAACAGTTACTAACCAATGGTAGTGGATTATCATGACTTATAACACCAAGTTGACTTCTGTACCTATGTACCTCCTATGTTTTACATGGAACAATAATATTTACCACATAGTACATTCAAAGGAAAAGTATGGGACACACTAACCGCACAATCTTTTATCTATCCAAGCAAATACTTCCTAAAACACCCCACTATTTTTGAAACAAAGAGTAACAGTAGGAACACATTCTCCTTTGACTCTTAGGCTATTCAGACGTCTTTCTAGAACTCACATCAATAGCTCTTCCAACACAACCATTCATCTATTTCCCTCAAGT